AATGGCGGAATCTGTTCAGAAATCAACGGAACATACAGCTGTACGTGTAAACCTGGATGGAAAGGAGAAAGATGCCAACAAAGTAATTTTTTATGACTTTATATTTTATTTATTTATACATTGTAACTTGTAATTTAGCAACCGATTACACACTTCAAAAGTTTAAAGAAGATACGAACTGATAACAGTTAAGCTATAACAAACATACCTTGAAACACACAATGCGTTTTTATACCTCATTCAGAAAGTTAATGACATTGAATTTTTTTACAAACACTTAAGAGCAAATATATTTCTGTAATATATAAACGCCATTATTTGGGAAGATCACCTAAGTCATTAAACTCGAGATAACAGTTTTTATTACCTCCTTAGTACTGTATGCATTTCAGTCGAAATATGTGCACCATTTTCTTAATGAAAGGAATCACTTTTATTTCCCCAATAGACATCAATGAGTGTGAAACGAATCCTTGTCAGAATGGTGGTACTTGTGTGGACCTGATGAATGGTTATTATTGTTTGTGCAAGCCTGGATGGGCAGGAAACACTTGCCAGCAGGGTATGTAACTTAATGTTGTGGAATTTTATTCTTTTCAATGAAAACAGTAGAGAACGATGCAGATAAAGAAGGCTTAACATTTAGCTTAAATTGTCATGAAATTGAATTGTTTAATCAAATCCAATCAAGATGGTAAAAGTATTTCGTAATACTTTTAGATGGACAAAATGTATGTATGTGTGTCTCTATGTATAGTTGTTTTAGTAAAATACCATCGAATTTACTCGTGTATTGAAATATTGTCTAGCCAAAGCGTTATAAGGATTAACCTCGTTAATTTTATAAGGGCTATTGAGGATTCTCTCTTGTTTTTCTTTTAATCGTCTTGCGGCTATATATGGTCAAAGAAACTAACACTGATAAGGCACTACTAAAGTGTACGTACCACCATGACTAATAACGTGTAAGAACGTCACAATTGTTTTTTATATTAAATGCAAGTTACTTTCAACAAGAATTCAATCTCACATTCGCTTAAAAAAAACATATTTTCCACTCGGAAGATAAGATTTCATTGAGCATGCAGTTATTCTTGTAAATCTTATACACATTTGTGAAACGATTCAAACTTTTCCCACACATATAAATGCATTAGTTCAAGAAAGAAGTATAGATCCTTTATCTAATGTCAATTACGAATAACAAAAACCAAACCAAAGACTGTGCATCGAAAATACCAATTGGGAAACAGATCAGTCTCTTAGTCAATTACCTATCAAACGCTTCACCACACAAAGCACACATTTACTACATACAATACTACGATGTGAAACCTTATTCACGAATATCCTGAGAGAACGCGTATAGTTTGTTTCTGTAGTTTAATGTAGCTTTTAAAGGTTAGGTCTTATCACACTAATTTTCGTACAGCAACTAAAGATTAATACCTTCTTCAATACTTAAAACTCGATTATCTGTCATATTAAACAAGGCAGCGGATTATTTTGAAAAATATCAATATGCGCCTAGTTCGGCGTTACAGTAACTCTCCCGCTAAATATCTACGGACTGCCGCGTTTAAAAAAATTGCTGCTATCGGTCGATCACGTATAGTAGAACAGCATGCATACGCAAGGAAACACCGACGAAACTTTTTGGTTGTTTGGTTTTGTTTTAAAAAGTGATGCTATTATAACGTTATTTTTACCTTTAAACAGATAAAACCATGAAAATGCGTTCTCTGCTACCTCTACGTTATTACTGATTTAGTAATATACACGTGATAATAGCTTTGGCCAAACATTTATTTCGCTCTAAGTTTGGCTTTAAGAGGTGCTTTTCGGAGACATATTTAATTCAACTTTAAGTCCATTCAACATTACGTGTGGCTTATACTCCGTACGAATTTATCGAGCGTATAAAAATGATTAGAACGTACTGAATGTTAGCTTGGGAGCTCATCATAAAACAAAACTGTTTCTTAGCGACATCTACAATTTGTGGATTCTCGTTTATACGTTTTCTTGATATCATAAATTGATGGAAACCGTCCCTCACTAGCATAACACCACGATTCTGAACCAGTTGAAGAAAGTTAACTGTGGAGGCAAAAGAATAAAGCATATTATACCTTTTCAATGAATAAACAAAATAGTAGTCCTAAGGCGAGCTCTTCACCAAGACTAAAATGCTTTAAGTCGCCATTTTAAGTTACATATATAACAGTAATGATTAAAAAGCGTTTGTTCACTCTCTTAGAGTCGTACTCCTTTCTTGCCATTCATTTCAAAAGTTTCTATTAAACGTGCTAATTCATTTTTATCTTTCTATTAATGGTACTATGTTTTAATTTTAAACAGCCAACTCACTTTACTTTTCACCCAATTATTTGGACAACTCGAAAATTGATTTAACTTCAAAACGTTCAATATATATAATCACTACAAGTTATACATGGTTAGCCTCGGAAGAACCAAACTCCAAATTTTCATATGAACCCATTATTATTACCTTTACTGATTTTGGTCCCTTAGTGGCACAGCGGTATGTCTGCGGACTTACAACGCTAGAAACTGGGTTTCGGTACCCGTGGCGGGCAGAGCACAATAGCCCATTGTGTAGTTTTATGCTTAAACTACAAACAAACTTTACGGATTTCGTCGAAATTAAGCCTGCCAATTTGTGAATTGGTGTTCAAAACCTATCATATCTCCTTATATAGCTAAGTTTCATTCTTTGATATTAAGAAAATGGTTGACAACTACTAATCAGAAGGAAGTTACTTATATATGTCACAATAAAAGTATCGTTGTTGTTGTTTCACTGCGACAAGAAACTGCACTAGGAAGATGTTTTCCACTTCCTTACTTAATCCTCTACTTTAAACCTGATTTTAATACCTCACGAGAATCAAAGCTTCACTTCTGCAAAGTGATTATATGATATTTCAATGATAAGTGTACACAAAGCTAATAAAATTGGATTTTTACAAAAATTTGTGAATTACTCGTAAATTCCAAAAACTCAACTCAGTGAATTTCTAAACTTAATTTTTTTTGGAATTTTTAAAGAACAGCTTTACTTTCATCGTAAATGTCTCATTCACGTAATAAAATGACAAACATTCTAACATACGTTTTAAAACACGTTTTCAATATATTTTCCGAGTAAATTTGAACTTATAGAGTAATGTGTAATAAGTTAGAAACTAGAATTAACATTTTTGCATAGCTACTAAAATGTAATAAACAATGTCAATCACATAAACTGACTTATGTTAATAAAGAAATTATCTAATAAACAGTAAAATAATAATGATAACAATAAATATTTTAAAAAGTATCAAAATATTTTTGTGCGTGTGTGCGTATCTAATTACAATATGTATACATAACGTTTGTTTGTTTTAGCAATGTGCAAAAAGCTATAAGGACTATACACTCAGAACTGATAAATCTGATAAATTTGAGGGATTAATAATATCCACCGCTAATTCTTGGGCAACTTTTAACTCATCGAATTATGGAATTTAAGCGAAATTATTTCAGCTTTTCCATGGTGAAGCGCATTGTTATGGTAACGGATCACGATTTATAAATCCTCAATTACACAGACCGGGTACGTTAACCACTAGGCCACCATCGGCTCATATATACATATATACACGTACATACACACAAGCGGATGTATAAACGATTATAAATTTCTGTTCAAAGACAGAGGAAGAATATATCGAGATGTATCTAACAGCTGTTGAACGTTTTATTTTAATCATATTACATATTCAAACGGAAACACAGTGTGTACCTAAACAAGTATCTATCTATATATATATAGGGTAGAACACTATGTAGAATTAGTTGCAAGTGAGCTCTACTATTAAAAGTTAATTTCATTTTGATTTCTTCAAGATGACTTAGAACATTCCAAAAATTCATAAGATGGCCTGAAGGGCAACTTTTTTTTTTCATTAAGGAACCAATAAAAATGATAACGATAGGAAAAGTGGCATGGCAAGGGTGGAACAACACAATTCAACTTTTAATGAACACGACAGTTAGAAGAGCGTTTATTAAACGCGGAGTTGATATAGGTAGGTTGGTCGGTAGGTAGACTGCAGTCTACAGGTTGCCGATCCTTGCCCTGAAGGAGATTCCACAGTCTACAGGTACCTTCCCCACCCTACACACGAGCTGGTGAGTGCACTGTAAATTGACTTAAGAAAAAACCTGCAGGTGGTCAATTGAGGTATCACAATTTTTAAATAAGTACTGAAGAGGCACTTGTGCTTTGCCTTTAACACAACATGCTTAGATCTTATTTGGCACCCAAGCCTCATAAAGCCACCATTAACGAGTCGTCTGCAGTAGTTGCTAGGCTTAACAATGAGGGAAGCAAGAGAAACTGTGATATTACCGGGCTGTCAAGGACAGCGTCGATAAGTACACTCGTTGTATTTGGTTGTTTGAGCCAACTACTGAAAATAATCTTACAACAGTAAAACATAAAACTAGTTTGAGCAAATACTTATTTTTCCTTTCAAGACTACGTTATCCATCTACAATTATTTTGATATATATACATATTACAATATATACCACAAGTATTATTTAGAATTTCCGACATCACTAATTTTTAAGCACGTAGCCAATAGACTGCAAATGTTGAGGCATTTGGTCTGCTTGATTGAAAGCAAATAATAAAAAGTTGATGAATGTGTTTACTAGATTTCCACAAACTTCGTGCACGTTTTTGTCGTCATTCAAGTGCAATAATTTGGAATAAAATAACATAAACGTAAGAGTAATTAATTAGTGTTTTCAAGTTGTTTACACTAATTACATCTATAATTAGCATTTCCAACAGAGACTTCCAGTATTAAAAAATGTTAACAGTGTAATGATTTAAGGTTAGCTCGTTCAACAATAAATAAAGCCTTAAGTTATAGTCACTAAATCGTTTCAAAAAATAATTGAACTTAAACACAAGATAAACTTACTTTCATGACAATATCTGCCAGTATAGCCTGGATCACAGACGCATGTGAATCCCCCTAGTGGTTCACTGATACACTTGCCATGATCTCCACAGACATTTGAACCGCTAAGTCGCTGTTTTCCACTGGAAGTGTTAGTAGAAATAGGCACCATACAACCGTCATAAGCTTAAAAAACAACAAGAAAATGGTATAATTAATTATTTATATGCAAGTATTGGTCAACGACAGTGCCATATTAAAACTTAATGTTTATATGGATCAAGTCATAAGGTTAGGCGGAAACAGAGATTATACCAAATTATGGGTAAAATGTATTGCATAATTAAGTAGAATAAATTCATTCTCAATACCACAGTCCAAACCCACATTATGATAAAACTCTTGACGTAAGCAACAATATACAAAAATGTGTCACCTGACATGTACCAAGCTTAAATCGTCTACTCTTACATAATTCTTACTGACCCTATCATTTTTTTCAATCACTGTTTTTTCTAAAGTGTTTATGCACCAAACTACTTGTGGGTTCATGACTGTTGATTACAAGGTTTTTGGTAAGGTATAAGCCACACACAAATATTTCAACTCAATTGCCATCAATATTGCAAGTAATCCTACTAAATACTGCTGGGTTCCCAAAATGTTTTACATAGAAAATGAGTGATCTCATCCATTTTTTGGAGTCAGTTCTCTATACAAATTGCTGTACGTGGCAAAAACAAAATTACTCAAGAAAGTAGTAAATAGTATATAAACACGTCGGTAATTTGAGGGTTACTTCAAATAAGCCCACACTTTAACATATGTCAGTAAGTTCGTTGGGTATTATTTGATATGCTATGATCGAAGCCGTTCAGTCACTGGCATTATCAATTATCTAAAATACACTTTGATGTTGTCGGTAAAGTTCTTTGTTGGTTTGTTTCTAAATTTTTGCGCAGTTCATAAAGAGCTATTTGCGTATAGCCGTCCCTAATTTCGAGCTGATAGGCTAGAGGGCAGGCAACTAGTCAACAGTATTCACCGCCAACTCTTGTCTGACGGAATCGTAGTATTTGACTGCCACTATTATACCCACCTACGGCCACAAAGTGTAGAGTGCGAACCATGAATCCTCTATTCAGAAGCTCGTGCACGCTATAACCACGAGGTCACGCTCGATCCTGTCAGTACACTAACTCTGCTTAATGTAAACAGGTTTTTTCGGGTCATGGGTTCACTACGAAACTGATAAAATCTATTATTAACAAGTCCTGACTCCATCTTGATAGTTTTCATGGATTTCTGTGTATTACTTAGGATATGCATATATCCTTTAAATACAATGACAACCGTTAACTTTTTAAAATCAGGTAACCACTATAACCATTTTTCGTGTATTTCATGGATCTAAAAATCTAACAGACGATATATCAAGCAATCAATCTCTTATAATGATCGCTCTAATAATAATGCCATAAAAATGCCCACAGGTTCGCCTCTAGTTAAAATAACCTAATTTGCTGTGAGAGATATCGCGGGTCACTCAAACCAATCATCTTTAAACGTAAGGGAGCCCCATAAACTAAAATTTAGCCTTATATTTCATTTGCAAATGCCCCACGGTGGCACAGCGGTAAACTTGAGGGTTTAATAACGCAAAAAATTAAGGTTCGATGCTAACACATGATGATCCATTATATAGCTTTACACTTAAAAACAAACAATCATTTGTGAAGAACTTCATTGGGACAAATCCGTCATCTTGACAAGTTAATTGTTTCAAAACACGCAGGATTTAAGGGAGATCCTTGGGAGAGAAAAACATTCCCACACTTTTAATGTTTAGTGGAGCACACGAGTTTATAAGTCCTTTTTTTTCCACTTCGAGAATCGCATCTACCTGAACATATAACTTCACTTCGTGTTCTATATTATAAATTATTCTAACAATTAAGCTTGAAAATCCAGACAGATTCCCACTGAGGCCGTTATCACGTCTTGAACATATTTAAGATTGTCTTCACTTGACTGCACATCCGATACGCCAAAATGCACATCTTAGAAACAACGTAAAATTGCATTATAAAATCTTGGTTTTGAAGCAAAAAAAAATTGCTGGTGGAAAAAAAAAATGCCGAGTACAAAAACTGTTATAATGAAATGATAGTCACCTTGATTTCCAAGTTCAAAAGTGCAAGCAATTTGCGAAATTCTTGGATTGAGAATAGGCAACATTCCCCAGTTACCGCGGTAAATTGTGATTCCGACTAACGCTAATGTGAGAAGATTGCAACAGCTTTACGACAGGTAGAAGAGAAAGAATATGTGGTCCGAAGAACCAGTGCAGCAAGAAAGACTGGTTGACATGGGGTTAGAAGATACGCAAGACTTTACGTTGTTGTTAATACGGAGTCTAGGTAGCTTCCCAAGCCAGCCAGCCACTCGTGGTAATTTGAGATAATAACACTCTTTGAGCGGAATGCCTTTCTGAATTGAAAGAGCCCGATCGTGTCAGATTGGCTTTCCTGTCCAGACATACTATCAATCTATACAATGACAGCCCATGGCCGTAAACAGCCATGCATACATCATACTAATGATTTAACGCACTTTATGATGCTACAAGTGTTTTCCTCCAGTAAACATTTGACTAGATTTTTATCCTCCCATTTTACCCCAGCTATGAAGTAAACATGGAGTAAAAAATTTTTCATGTAAACGGTTACTATACTAGTTAATGTTAAACCTAATGAAGGTAAACGGTACTGAACTTGAAGAATGTTCTATCACAACCCTGACTGAAATGATTTGGATATTGCTTAGTAACGTAAACTTTCAAAGTAGATTTTCAAAGTGTTTGTTTGTTTTGAATTTCGCACAAAGCTACATGAGGGCAATCTGCGCTAGTCGTCCCTAATTTAGCAGTGTAAGACTAGAGGGAAGGCAGCTAGTCATCACCACCCACCGCCAACTCTTGGGCTACTCTTTTACTAACGAATAGTGGGATTGACCGTCACATTACAACGCCACACGGCTGAAAGGGTGAGCGTGTTTGGTGTGACGGGTATTCGAACCCGCAACCCTCAGATTGCGAGTCGAGCGCCCTAACCATCTGGCCATGCCGGGTCGGGTAACGAATTAGTCAACTCGGGTGTTTCGTCATAATTACTTGTACATTACATTTTAGACTACAGAGATAACCAATCCAACGTACCAATTTCACAGTCATATCTACTTCATATGGCCAACCTTGGAAAGTTAAAATAGTTTTCTTCACTTATACTCACAAACCTAAATATATATATATATACATATACTTGTATTTCATTTTTTAAATATTTTATCGGTACGGAATTTCTGGCATTTGTTTTATAATTTCTGTTTTTTAGCATACTGCAACTAAAACATTATGATCTGGCGTTTTTTATAACAACTTTTTTGTTAATACTAGTATATTGCAAGTAAAACATTAACTAAAAATACTGGTTACGACGGTAAAATTCGGGTTTCGATATCCGTGGTGAGCAAAGCACAGACAGCCCATTATGTAGCTTTGCGCTTAACAACAAATCATCTAACGAACTAGTTATTGTATATACCAATTATATGGAAAGAATATTGTTAAGAAGATTATGGCGTTCTCTGTCTTGTCTCTAACCAGGGTCATAAAGGAGTAATTTCAACCATCGTTGTTGATTTCAACATTTCTTTCACCTGAAAAACATTGACAATTTGGAAAGTAAGGCTTGACTCGGATCAGACTATAAATAGTAATGAACACACTAATGATTTCAAGTAAGACACCGTAGTAAAGATAATTAATTACATGAACTACCGCCATCACGAAATATACTGGCATAGACACACAGACTTCTGTTGTGTTGTGATGCCATCGCCTTTGAAAGTACTTCAAAAGCCACCGTAAAACATGTATTTTAAAAATGCCGTGTTTAATTAGAGAAATACTTATGATAATAACACGAAAGAAAGAGAGAGAGAAAAAAAAAGCTGATTAACATACCAGTTCCTTGTAAAACAGAAAATAAACTTACCTTCACAAGGAGGAGAAGTACACTTGGGTCTTGGTTGGGAGCAGTTTTTTCCGTGATATTCAGCAGAACAATGGCAATAGTAATCCCTATGCATGTTGAAACAGGACGCTCCATTTTCACAGGGATTGGGATTACAAAAATCGTCATCGATCTGAAAAACCCCATAATTTCCAAAAATTAGTTGAACATTTACGTTTATCAAGTTTCAGATAACCACTACCCAAATAACCCCTTGAAAAAGTTGCTCTTCACAAAGCCAACTGTTAAATTTCAAGAAAAAAGAATTACAAAACAGTTCATAAAATAAGTTAGTTGGTATTAAAACTTTAAACTGATTCAAAATGGACTTATTAAGTGCTGCGACTTAAGGTCTGGTATTCACATAAACTGACATATCTTGTTCTTGTTGTAAAGCCTAAAACTACACAAGCTGTCATAAAACAGTTCATAAAATAAGTTAGTTGGTATTAAAACTTTAAACTGATTCAAATGGACTTATTAAGTGCTGCGACTTAAGGTCTGGTATTCACATAAACTGACATATCTTGTTCTTGTTGTAAAGCCTAAAGCTACACAAGCTGTCTGTGTTCTGCCCACCACGAGTATCGAAACTTAGTTCTTGGATGTTATAAGCTCCTAGTCTTCCCGCTGAGCCACCTGGGGCAATAACGTATCAAATAGGTGCATCTGGCCAACATGCTTTATGAACACCATTATTTTAACGAATATATTTGTGATATGCGTAAAAATAACCTAATGAACAATTTTTAGTTATTTATTAATAGACCGAAAAGTATCTATGTTGGTAAAAAAATGTGATCTAAAAATTGAGAGTACATAATATAATCATACTGGAAATCAAAATGGTCAACATGTCATTTCTCAATAGCTCCTATCGATAACGATTGGATTTGGTCGTTCCATTGGTCTGTTCTCCAGTGGATCAGCAGTAAGTTTACATACTTACAACACTGAAATCCGGGGTTCGATTCCCCGTGGTGGATAGGGTGTAGCCAGCCTATCGTATAAACCCTACAATCCACTAACCTATACATATAATATAATCCATGTTATAATTAATATTTTCATTAAGAATTTGTAAGCAAATATAATAATACACGGTTAAACCTAATAACAGACTCGTAATCCTCTATGTAAACATTACTTTATATGGTTTAAGTCAACACTTATATTTACTAGAGTGTAAAAAAAGCATTTATTTTTCATGAAGTCTAAAAATTACTCTTAAAACTTTTTAAATATTTACATAAAAATAACCGTAAATCTACAATTAAAATTGTCTATAAAAAAGTATAAGTTTGGGAGACCAAATGCTTCCTTGATGTGTTTTAAAACTAAATAGTTAAATTGCATAATGCTTTTAGAAGTTAGGCCTTTGACTTGCACTTGTTGTATCTGACACAGAAAACATACTAAAACAAAGAAGAATTTATGTGAAAAATGATACACACCTCGCACCTCGCTCCTTTATACCCAACAGGGCAGATGCAAGAGAAAGCAGCCACAAGGTCTACACATTCTCCTCCGTTCAAACAGGGGTTGCTGGCACAGTCGTCAATGTTGGTCTGGCAGTTCCTTCCTGTAAATCCTGGGAAGCAGGCGCAGTGGTAGTCGCTTACCAAATCAATACACGTGGCTCCGTTTTGACATTGACCAACACAATCATTAATGTTGTGATCGCAATTTTTTCCCATCCATCCAGGTTGGCATTCACAGATATAATCTCCAACCACATTCTTACACAAGAGAGCGTTGATACAAGGATCTTTTACGCATTCGTCAGCATCTGATGGTTCCAGTGAAATAACTGTCAGATAAGGTTAGACTGAACTAAGTTAGGATTGGGTAAGTAATCATAGCAGCAGTCTCATGCATATATTAACTTGTTATTACATCGGTTACTTTACACAAATCAAAACCATTCATTTGATAAAAGACTATGTGTGTCTGTGTGTTCACTTATAATTGGCGAACCACGGGACTGATTGTCACCAAATCTGCCATGTACCTTTACGACTCCCCGAGGAGTAACATAGGAGAGAGTGGCATTCGGATCTGACCCCATATATCACCCCCGGGGGGTGGGGAGGGGGCTCCATGTCTTCCCGTGTAAAGGGGATCAAATGCTGATAGCGTTTCTTTATTTATGTACTGGCAATGTTGTGACACAAAATTTAGTCTAGGAACCGTCTTTCACATTCTCTACAAACTGTATATTTTATGTTTAAAATGTTAGAGCTACGAGCATTACATAAATTAGAATTTTGTTTTTTTCATTTTACATCAGGCGTTAATTACTGGGATGAGGAGTTATACAATGTTTTACATCAGGCGTTAATTGGTGCGTAAAGGAATTATACAACGGTTGTTTAGCACCTTTATCAAGTGCTTTCTAACTGAAATCTAATGAGGTAAATATTATAAAAGGTTAAAAAATTCACAAGTGTCGAGGAAAGAGATTGATTATACTTTAATCTGTTTTTAGTTCATCACATTTATTTCAATCAGATTTTCCAATGAAATTTCATAAGTACATTTCAAAAGAAGTTTATAATTCGCATTAGTAAACTAGCTTAAACAGGTGAGATTAGTAACAAACAATATAAAAACTCAATAACTAATAATGTGTAGATATGCATTTACACAGTTTTGAAATCAAACATCAACTATAAAGATTTTAATTAATGCACATCTTGGAGTAATGATGTATAGAAATGAACATGACATTTTAATGAAACTGAAAAATTAATTCAAGTCACGTTGGAAATGTTTGACTGAAAAACCAACAAATAATTCTTCATATTCCTTCTGTTACAACATAATGTAGTGAATAAAATGTTACATATAACATATTTTTAAATTTCGCTAGAAATATTTTGCGTCACGCAGTAGTAGTGGTTATAAAGTCAGTATGGGTGCTTGGCATAGTCGGTAATGGTTATACAGTCAGTGTGGGTGCTTGGAACAGTCTGTGATGGTTATAAAGTCAGTATGGGTACTTGAAATAGTCTGTAATGGTTATAAAGTCAGTATGGGTACTTGAAATAGTCTGTAATGGTTATGAAGTCAGAGGGGTGCTTGAAATAGTCTGTAATGGTTATAAGGTCAGAATTGGTGCTTGGAATAGTCTGTAATGGTTATAAGGTCAGTATTGGTGCTTGGAATAGTCTGTAATGGTTATAAAGTCAGATGGGTGCTTGGTATAGTCTGTAATGACTATAAAGTCAGATGGGTGCTTGGTATAGTCTGTAGTGGTTATAAGGTCAGTATTGGTGCTTGGAATAGTAATGGTTATAAAGTCAGTATGGGTGCTTGGTATAGTCTGTAATGGCTATAAAGTCAGATGGATGCTTGGTATAGTCTGTATACGTTTTATAAGCGCTATGTATAATACCGGTCGTACGACGTTCAGGAGCAAAGAAAGAAATTTTATCCTATACGAAAAGCACATGAACTATAAGGATCGTCTCTGGACATTTCGTGCGAAGAATTCAAGTGAACGAATTCAAATTCTATGTAAAAGGGAGAGGGAAAAGTTTTTAAGCCGCGGCATATCGGCTCATAGAATGGCTCTGAGTTTTTTTCAAGTACAAACTTTTAGCTCACAGCTCCGTCCGATTTGAGAATCCAATTATAGTTTTGGACTAAGAAGGTCAAACCCTTTCGATTGACGTAGTTGACCGCTGCCCAAGGTCTCATAAATTAATTTACTCTAATCCTGCCTAAAAGAATTTCAAGTGCCACTAAATTCGATGACGAGGAACCCACTTTGAGACTAATAATGGCTGGAGACGGCTTAAATGGGTAATGAAGAAAAACTTTAATATAAGTTTAACATGACAGCAAATGTACAACATTTCGACACGGTTTTGTCATCATCAGGTACTTGTTTTTATATTAACAAACAAGACTTCAAAGAATTCTCAAAGTTATTTAAAATACAGTTTTTGGGAACTTCACAAAACCTTGTCGAAACGTTGTACATTTGCTGTCATGTTAAACTTGTATTAAAGTTTTTCTTCATTACCCATTTAAGCCGTCTCCAGCCATTATTAGCTTCATGTTCTTTGTTTCATCTTTCTCTTAAATTTTATTTTTTGTTGTTGTTGGCTTGTGGACATTGTCAATTGGAGTTGTTTGCAATCCATGTGCATCGGACTCTTTATCATTCCATGTTTTTATCTGCTTTACCTCGATAGGTCTTTTCTTCCCAAGACACTGGCAGCCAGGGAAGGGTAAAGATCTTTCTAACCAATCCATTTGTCAGACACTTCTCACCTTTATGATCTCTCCAATCCTGATTGTTTGTTATGTCCTGTTAGGGTCCTCAAGTGCTATGTGGCTTGAGGTAGTAGGAATCGATTGTTTATTCACTGGGATCATTCTATTTCTTGTGATTTTCTGGGATGCATTTGCCCTAATTACCTCTTTGTTGTCACGTTTGTCAACTTTGGCTCTTTCTTTAGATATGTGGTTCCTTTGTTATTGGGATCTTTTGGGGGAGAGATATGGTTTTGTCCCACGTTCGTTTACCATCTCCTTATCTTCAGGACTTGCACCTTCCTCGTTTTCTCTATCAGTTGGTCATTGGAGATTTTCTGGTGACTTTGAAATCTTGGGTGGAATCTGTGAGACAGCATTTAACTCTTTCCACATTGGTTGATCATTTATCTCACATGGAGCTTCAGCAATCCCCTATATCTGTTTCCAACCATTACCTGTTTCTTCCACAAGGAAATCTTATTTTCTTTTGATGATGAGTGTCATGTCACCTTCAGTATCGGTGGCTACCCTGTGGGTTCCAGTTCAGTGGGGGCTTGTGTATCCTAGTTTGTTCATCGATGGGAAGTTTTTGACAGGGATATATGAGTTTTTCAGGTTTTATCAGAAGGAATTGTTATCCAGTTCGTCTTCTCTCCTTGATTGTCTCAGATACTTGTTTTCTTTCCCTTGCCTCCTTCTAAATGTCAATGTCTGTATGAGGCAGTAGAAGATCTTTTTTCTCAACATGCCACCAAAACTGTATTTCACCATTTTCCATCATTTTATTCCAGGCTGTTTTTGGTCCCCAAGAAAAATTGGAAACTGGCTGCCTGTAATAGATCTGTCATGCCTCAATCGCTTCTTGGTACTACTTCATTTTACCATGAAGTCATTTCTTACTCTCAGGTGGATTTTTTCCTCAGGCTTATGGATGACCAAGGTCGACATCTCGAACACTTATCTCCATATTCCTTTATTGAGACAGTACCTTTCAGTTTGTTCATCACAGGGTTGTTTATCGCACTATTCCTTTTGGGCTTGCTACAGCTCCACAGGTCTTTTGTTAGGTTATCAAGGCTTTTGCAGGTCTTATGCACACTCAAGGGTTGTGCTTCCACCATTACATGGATGACTGACTCTTGGCTTATTTCAACCTGGAATCTGCCCAACACACTCATCTGCTTCTTTCAGAAGTTGTAGAAATCCTTCCTTGCTCCTACTTAATATCTTCTCCATTTGGGTGTTTTGATCAACACTCATTTGGGCCCAACTTCCTCCTCTTCAACTCTGTTTGATGGAGCTGGTGGGCATCAATGCCCTTACCACTCCCTTTCTTATTGATCATTAGGTTCTATCTCTTTTGAGGATGTGGTCCTTTATGATGGCACTTATCCCCATGGGTCATGCTCATATGAGATCCCTTCAGTGGACTCTTCATGCTCGTTGGAACCTTGCACAGGATCCCTTGGATGTACCTTTTACTCTTCCTTCTTCCCTTGTCAGTGACCTGAATTGGTAGTTGGACAGGGCTCACACTTTGGTGGGGGTTTCCATTCCTCCCCATAATCCAGATTTACATCTTTTCATGGACGCTTTCCTTCACAGCGGGGGGCATAGGTGGAACGCCAAGTCCATCACCTACAACAGAAAGGTCTACCATATCAATAACCTGGAGCTGCTTGCTGGTCAGCAAGCTTTGGATCATTTTCTTCATCTTGCAATACTACAGAGAGGCACCCATACTCATTCCCTTTCTTCTTAAATGTTGGATCTCATGTTTTGGGCCTGCACACAAGGTATTCATCTCTTTGCGTGTCATGTTCCGAATGCTTTCAATCTGGTTGCAGATCATCTTTCCCACCCGGACAAAATTTATGCGATGGCGTGGTCTTTAGATCCTCAGGTTTTCCATTGGTTGTGCTCTCAGGTGGGTACCCCATATCTGGATGCATTTGCTATTTGTCAGGATTGGACAGACAAATTCCTTTATGTTTATCCTTTTATCTGACTCCTTTTCAAGGTGATTTTATCATCCACTGTCATGTCCTTCTTATTGCTCCATATTGGCTGTCTCAACCATGGTTTCTGTGGCTGCTTCAGATCCAATCTGCTCCACCATTGCCTCTTCCCAACACTCTATCCATTCTATAGCAGCCTTAGTTCTTGGTAGTTCATCCTGCCATTCTGTCCTTTGTCTTCATGCCTAGTTTTTATCTGGTCCTTTTTGATTAAATCTGGTTTATTACAGCAAGTAGCTTCATTATTGGCATGTTCTGTTTTACCTTCTTCCATGGAGGTTTATCAACTTAGTCAAGTTTTAATATTTTTTTCTTTTCGAATGTTGAATATCAAACATGCAAAGTAATTTTAAGATTAAAAATTTCAAATTTTTATAACCTCCAGATAATTATCAAACTTGTTTTATCTGTTATTTTCACAACTGTATCTCTATACAGGTTTGGTCAATTGGACTGACCACCACAAAAATTTAGGAAATAGAATGACTCCAAATTATAACACAAATGTTTAGTATAAATAGCTTAAATCTTATAAAATATGAATTTTTGAGCTCACTAATGTCTTACCTTACTGCTTGGAATCTAGCATGAAAAGAAAGAGTTTCCCCACATAAATACTTTGCAGAAGCTGAGAAAACCACTAGGGGGACATTCTGAGCTTTTGATTGGTTATACACATGTCATTGGGCGAAGTAGGTGTATGTAAGCAAGTATTTTCAAAAAATGGAAGAGGTGGGTGGGACCACCTTGGTTGATTTAATAAATATATTAAAATCTCAGAGAATAGAAAAGATAGGATGTACTTTTCTTATATTCTAGCTTGTCAATATCGGTAATGTGAGTATCTAATTTGTAAGAAACTGTAGATTTTTATTTGGACGTCACAAACATCTAATTTAAATCAATGCTGCATTCAACATACCACGTGACAAACAAAAATCAATATTTAGGTGTTTTTTTTTAAATATTTTTTTTTAGTTAAGAAATTAACTAATGTATAATACTAAAATTGGAATTATAATCTACAATTTGATCCAAACTTGTTGAAACGCATTTATAAAACAGTTGTTCAATAAACTTTTGAATGTGAGTGTACAAACGAGATGACATGGTTTTTGACCTGTGACTATAGAAAGAAGATCTGTGTCAGTAGGGTTAAACACACACATTGTTCTGTAATATACTAGAGATGGAGTGTTCCATAGAATCATATGTAGGTTATTCCTCGTGTTATAATTGCTTCTTAAATATACCTGTTCTGGACCATACTCACCCATGGACTTCATGGGTAAAGAAAAAGGGATTGCTGCTCATCCCTACCATTCCTTAGATTGGGTAAATCACTTTTGGTCTGCTTTTGAATATAGGGTTTTATGGTCACCCATTGCACTGTCTCTGGTGTGTCTTCCGGACTCTCCACTGTGTTTTTTTCTACCCGTTTCTTCCAGTGGAGTAAGAGAAGTTCCAAGCTGCTGGAGTGATGGACGATGAAGGTTCCTTCTGAATGTGAAATATACAATATGAAAATAATACATCTATTCAGTTGAGAGTAGGGCAGTGGTTTTCTGCTGGTATAGATATGATTTGGATCCCTCATCCTACCCTCGTATGGAAGTCAGTTCCTTCCCTGGTTCCTGCATGCCAGCTTTTCAAAATAGGGTTCATGCTAATCAAGTAAAAGATGTTTGTAATGGCTAAGTCTGATTAGATCTGGGCACTTCTCCTGGGTCACCACAAATGCAGACCCCCTCCCAATTATCGAGTGGAACTTGGGAGACCCTTGCTATTGCCAGTTCCTAGCCACTGGGGTGGTTGACTTGGAGATTTACTCGCTGGTTGTGCAGTCCCTTAGGACAGAGTTTGAGTGGGCAGCACAATACATTGGGAAGTAGGGTATGGGTGTCCATGTCAGTGCAGGACACCACCTGTTCCATTGTATGTTAATTTACATGTGGTTTTGACTGTCCAGATGGGGTCAAGTGTTCCTCTTGGGATGCAGGAAGGGACCTTAGTCCCCATTCCTGTTTGTGTGGTGAGTATATTGTACAACAGAACACACGTGAAAGTCTGATTATTGCTCTAGCCACATTACACCTCATGTCCATGTGACCTGTTGTATGCAAATGCTCAGTTGGTCATGTATTTATTCCACCCTTCCCTGCAACCCATCTGGGCCAAGAGTATCCCCCTATCTGAGAAGGATGAGAGTTTGCCATGAGCATTGCTCGTCTAGTAAGCCCTTGCTGTTGAGTGATATGCTCCATGGCTTTTCCCTTTCTGACATTTTTTTGGAAGGGAGCTAATCCAGTTTTTCTTATTTGTAATGGCTCCTCCATCACATCAGTGTGGGATTCTAGCTACTTTTATGCAGAGAGGTAAGTTGATAATCTTGTAAATTAACATTTTCCTTACCTCCCCTCTACCAGTGAATATTATTTTTCTTTTTCTAAGAATGAAGTTAATTTTGAGTGCAAGTGCTAATGAAGATCTACTATGCATGGATGATGTGTCACCCTCCTATTGGTGGAGTGCTATTGTTGGATGACAATTAAATCATTTATTAGTGCTGTTTATGGCAAAACATGTAATTTAGGTGGGAAATAGTTCAAGGCCAGTTACATGTGCAATATTTGTATACTTAACTGCTATAGTTAGTATTATGTATATAACATAGCATTATATCACTAATTATTGGTATTGTAGAGCCTGATGTTATGTTGAAACATAAAAAGTGATAATTGGTAATAAAGATATTTGCCATTCATGAACAGTGTAGTTAGTATAATTGAAAACTATGTAAAAATAAACTATGTGAATCATAAATGCAAAGCACTATCAATATGTGAGCTTCTAGATGAATGGATATAGTTTATAATACCCTATAACCTGAGTGCTTTTGAAAGATTGACCATTCTTCTTCTGGGACAAGCTAATTCCCATGTTTTTCTGACACCATGAAAGGATGTAGTTTATTACATGCTTATTTCAATATAATGGTAAGATGGTTTTATAAAGAGTAAAATTTTTTTTTTTAGAATAAAATGTTAGAAGAAGGTGAAGTGCATGCTGTGATGTTGTATACTTGGCGTTGCTGTTCTCGTGCTATACCCCAGGTAAGTAAAAAATAATAATGTTGTTTTTGCTCCCATTTAGTTTAAATTCATTCAATCTGACCTTATCATTTTTCAAGTTTTGTAATTTATAGAATACATTATATTTATTTAAATAAGCAAAATATTAATATACCATTAACAATTTCCTCTTGTCATGTTTACCCTACATATGTAAATATTCTTTAACCATTAAGAATCAGTTGAAAAATGTCATTTGAAGTATGTAGCCATAGATGCAATTAAGATGTGTGTTTAAACCCAATTGTTACATATGGTTTTTTATTTAGATTTAAGAACCAGACTCCAACCTTACGATCATAATATGTAGTCTGAATTTATTTGTCCTTGCTGTAAAAATGAAAATTAAAGATCATGCTAACCTTCGATCCCACATTAAGTCAAATGTACTTCAACATGTCCTAAAAGAATGTGACGTTGTTGTTCATTCTAGTTGGTTTAAGTTCTTAGTGAGGGCCAATGAAGAACAGAGCCTCCAAATAAAAGAGAGCTTACCTATTCATATGCTAAGGCCTGATATAAACATTGTTTGGACAATTAGTGATTTACTACTGTTGTTATAAAAATGTAATTGTTTGATAAATGTTTTAATTATATTTATCTCTATATAAAACACAAAAGTTATTATCTTGCACCACTGTTGTGAAGATTTTTGTCACATCAGAAGCCTTGAACAAAGTTCCTACCACTACACATATTAATGTGTCTGCACCAGCCTATGATGTAATCATCATTAAACTATAGCCCTGTGCAGTAAACCTCATGAGCACTAGCATTGGATCAAAGACTCATTCTTTCCATGGCACTGCTTTATTCAGATGTGTTTTTCTTAAGAATTAATGGCATTTTTGTGCTTACTATTTTAATCATTTGTTACCATTCATATTTGAAATTTGATTTGTATTATCTTCAGTTTGATTTTCTTTTAAATCATATTTGTAATTTGGGGACAGATTACCTATTGTCTGTATTAAGGCCCCTCGGGGTGGATTTCTGTATGTGGTGAGGGGACCTTCCAGGGAAGGTTCTGTATTTTCACTTACTTCCTCTGGGATCTAAACATTCACCCACGTGTTTGCCGTGTGTGGCGACCCTTGAAGGGGTGGAAAGAATCCTGGTGGTTGAGTGGTGTCTGGGGCACTGCAACACACCACTTTGGCCTTGAATTCCTGTAAACACGTGGCCTTGGGGTAGCCCCTCCAGTGTCATTCGGCTGGTCCCATTGGGCTAGGGTCAACTGAGTACCTGTGTTGGGCATTTTCAATGGGTGTAGTGGACATCGTGTCTGATGCTGGTGTTATCTTGTCATACATTCCTCCTGTGCTATAAGGTTAAACATCAGGGGAAGGACCTGATCAGCCATCATGGATGTATCAGATTCTAGCAGTTCTCTGTTTTGGATCTTTGGCAGCTTTGAGAAAGAAGTCGTGGATCTTCACGGGATTAGCAAAAGTCCAATGGCCAAAAAAAAATTCCTTGACCTGACAACTCTCTCTGACAGCCAAAGCTCCTCAGCACCTAACTCGTCTTTCTAGATATTGGTCTTTTGACTTATAAAATGTGCCATTTCCTAGAATTTGAAACTTCAATTCAGTAACACAAAAAACTGGGAGAGCACAGGCACATACACTTATTAAGAGATAAACTGACACCCTGCAAAAGTAAATCCTTCCTACCTACTCTGTGGTATTCTCAGGTTCAGTCATTTCCCTGTGAATAATTTGATAAGAGCTGTAGAGTAACTGGATGTTTGCCATAAAATATTTTGCAGAGAAAGATTTGAGTTGTTTCAACCAAGTTTGAAGTAAAGAAAGAGACTGGATGCAATGTATCTAACACTGTAATAGTCTTTATTTAAACACTCGTAGAACAAAGCTTTTAAGGGCAAATGTATTTTGGCACCTTTACTAGAGAGAGGTCTGTGTATTAATTTGTATATATATATATATATACAGTTGCACAAAAAACAAGATAGCTGTTACTTTCTATATAGTATACTCTAGATTACAGCAATCATTTCCACAAAAAAGTATGTGTGTGATGCTCTAATTGAATGATTTGATACCAGGAGTTGGAACAAGATAAAGAAATTAATAAAAATATATATATAGGTTTTTTACCTTTGCAATTAGCCATAAGAATAGCAATAAGTTATCATAGAAATATCTATTTGGATTTCAACTTAAAGTAAAAATGCTGAATTTCAGTTATATTTATGTATATAATATAAATAACTTCATCAGAAACACTGTTTTGTGTATTCCTAGCCTAAATCCAATGAACAGCCTAACCGAGTGGAAATATATGAAAAAACAGTTGAAGTTTTATCACATGAGGTCAGCAAGCTACTTGCTTTTATGCGCTTTCAGGTAGGTTGTTAATATGTACAGTTTAATAGAAAATTATTTTTCTTAAGTAGAGTGTGTAGATATTAATATACAAATATGTGTAGTTATTATAATATTTAAATGAATAACACAAGGTAATTTCAAACATACAAATTTTTTTTCTCTCTCTTCTCACACTTTTAACATCAGCTCACCAGTGCTGGATTTCCTGTTTAGTTCAGGTGTTAAGTCCTTTATGGCTAATGTTTCTTTTAACTGTAGCCACTGCTCATTTTCAGCCTTTCCAATAATTTGGAATTGTTCAATTTTTACACTAAAAGAAAG